ATGAAATGCTTGAATTATGGCTGTTTAAAATTTTCAAGCTTTTTATTTATTTATTTTTACTTTTGTTTTAAAACTAATTAATGAAATAATATATATAATAATTGTACTCTCTAAACAATAAACATGATCAAAATATTTAAATAAGTTTAAATTGGACATACAGATGCAATTTGGATCCATTTTGATCAATCCAAACAAAATTCGATGTCTACATTAATCAAGAATCATTTTATCTATATCTATAAGTTTAGATGGAGTTTAAAATGATCTTAAAATTTGATAATGATTCATGATTTAAATTTTTTTAGTATAGATATTATTATATTACGTACATATTTATTTTCAAACTGAATAATTGAACATTAAGATTTATATTTGGATAGACTATAATTATATACATTTTAAAAAAATATAAACAATATTTGAACAAAAAATAATTTTTTCTTTTGTATATAATTTAGTTTTTAATATTTCTTTGTATCTTATTACTTTTTTTGTTAATTTTTTTTATCATAAGTCAATAGAAATATGTATTACATTATTTGAATTTGAAAACTTTTTTCTCATAAATTTACACTTTGTAATTTATAATATTTAGTTTTAATTTGAATTCTAATGTTATTCATGAATTTCAATTATGTAATTATATTTTTATTTATATATATTTAAAAATTTTAAAATTTAAAATTGATTTAGGATTGCATTAGACCGATTCTCTATAATGATTAGTGGTCTTAGAAAGACACGAATTGGTTTGTAATTTAAAAATTTTAGGTTAAATGCTTAATTTAAGATATAATATTTGAACTTTTTTTTCAATTAAGGATATCATTTTTAATTTGGTTCAATTTAAAATTAAATGTTTTCAAATTGGTTCAAAGTATGGCTCCATCACTATAGTATGACAGACGCATATTAAACCAAAGTGAAGGTTTTTTTTTTTACTATAAAGGCTAAAAAGAATTTTTTACTTCATTTTTTACATTTATATCTTTCTCTAATAGAAGAGAGAGAGAGAGAGAGAGAGAGAGAGAGAGAGAGCATTGCTCTCTAAAAATGAAACCCACTAGAAACTAAGATGCTTAGATTTCAATCATCACCATTGTGTTGGCCCTGTAAGCCACCACAAGTCAGTCATCTTTTGATCCTAAAATTTTATTAAATATTCTTCTCGATCTTTTAGTCTTAAATTCGTGTTTGATTTTGTCCAAAATAACGTAGAATCGCCCATATCTGGACCTAAGTTACAACCTAAAACTTGAAAATGTGCTTTCTTTCCACCGGCTAAACACTTTCTCCTCATAATATTTGTTTTTTCAAGCTGAGACCTACTTTTTCACCAAAAATCTAGACCCAAAACAACCTAAAATACCCAAACTGCTTTCCCATTTTAGTACTATTTTTGTTTTTTTTTTCTTTTTGTTGATCCTATTGCTTTGGTGCAGTTGTTCTCCTTTTAGGGATATGTTTTTTTATGTATTTTTTTAGTTTTTTTTTTGTTGTTAGATATAAGAGATTTTGGCTTTTCTTTTTTTAGTCTTTGTATCTTTATCTGAACAAAAAAAAGTACAAATGATTGATGAAAAGTTTGGAGCATTTTGGAAGTGCAAAAAGGAAGGAAAGGTGGAGGACAAAAACATAATGAAAAATAGAATTGTTTGGAGCAAAGGAAGTAAATTTTTTTGGGGTTGAAATGGTGGGTCTTTTTTGCAGATCTAAGCATTTTCAAGTGTTTGTTATAAAATTCATATAGATAGCATGAATGAGAGAGCGAAGATAGATTAGTGGATAAATTTTAGGCTCATTTCGACGATGAAGGTTGACAATCGATGGTGGCTATAGTGGTAGTCGGCCATTTGGGTTTATGAAGGGTTATTGGTTTCAAGTTTCTAGGTTTTTATGTTTAATTTTGGGTTTAAAGCATTTTTAATTAATAAAAATTGAAGAATTTAATGGTAAAATAAACTTAATGACCATACAAGTCATTGCCGTCATGCAATCCTAATTTGAACACATCCGAAAATGTTTAGTCCTACATTGAATTAAATTAAAATTAATATCTTTAATTAAGAAAACATCAAAATGTTTGATCCTTAATTGAGTGCTTAGCCAAAATTTTAAAACCAAACCTATATGAATAATCTATAATACTAACTTCATGATTGTCCCAAAGCATGCTCACCCCTACATACAAGGCCTTAACATTTGCAAGTGCTTCTAGACTAGTTTGTTTTAGTATCACCTATCAAGTTCTTTTTGAATGGCTCTAAATACACCATTCAACTTTTTATTCACACTCTAACATTTTTTTTTTTCAAAAATATTCATATATAAAATACCAATTTTATCTTTTAATAAATTACAATTTTACTTTTTTTACACCCCATGTTAAGACTCTTGAAAATCCATTTCCAAGAGTTTTAAAAGGTTTTTCGAAAATCTAAAAAATCCATTTTCGAGAAACCTTCAAAGCTCAGAAATTTGAATAGCCTTCAAAGCTCTCAGAAATAGATTTCCAAAAGCCTTTTTAAAAGCTTTCGAAAATCCATTTTTGAAAAGCACAATTTTGACAAATAAACTTTATATCATATTCACACTTCATTTAACATTTAAGACTCTCGAAAATCCATTTTCAAGATCTATAAAAAGTACTTAAAAATCTATTTTTGGGTAGCTTTCAAAACTCTCAAAATGGATTTTTAAAAGCATTAAAAGGCTCTTGGAAATCCATTTCCTAGAAGCACAATTTCAATGAAAAAAATTTTCGTAAAATTTTAACTTTCACATGATTTCAATCAAATTAATGAACAAAAATCTCAAAATCTTACCTATAGTGAACGGAATACTAAAAAAATTATGATTTAGGGGTTGGTTTGCTGGTTTTAGAATTAAGTTTGGATTGAATTTGGATTAAAATTGAGAGAATGAAGAAAAGATGAAAATAGTATGAAGGGAAATGTGATGTTGTTAGGATGGAGTGTATTTAGAAAAAACAGAGAATTATATTTCAAATATGATATGTAAAAAGTGTTTTTGTGAATGTAAATAAAATTTCTCGTTCCCTTTTAATTGTGAACATAAATGTTTTTTTAGTATAACTAAATGTTCTTTTAATTAGGAATAAAGAAAAAAAAATACAAAAGCAGCATTTTGGATGAATAAAGTCTATGAATCATAACTTTTCACCGATTCTTAGGATTTATTGAGATGAAAAATAAAATTGATTTGTAATAGTTATGAAGGTAAAATTAGTTATTATAATAAATAAGTGATAAGATTAAAATTAATAGTGAGATATGTGTTTGAATACAAATGTAATTATGACAATGAGGTAAATTATAATAAAAAAATGATTATTAAAAGTATTAAAATAAAAATTGTATATAGTAAAAATTTTAAATGATTTAATATATATAATTAATAAATAATTATAAAAATATTAAATAATTTTTATATCAAATAATATTTTTATTAATAAATAATTAAAATAATAATTTCAAACAATATTTTTATTATATTAAATTAACAAAATTAGTTTACTATTTTAAATAAAAATAAAATGCAAAAAAATAAAAAAACATTATAAAAATTTTTTAATTACAATATCATTTAAAAAGAGAAAAGAAAAAGCACCCAAAAAAAAAAAAATGGTCGACAGATTATTAAACCTAAATTGTTCAGTGACTAAAAGCTACCAAACACGCCTCACCATTAACATCCAAATGAATATCCAATGCAATTAGCACAAACTTTTATTGCAATTACCCTCTCACTCAAGATACAAGTGATTACAAACGAGGCCTAATCCAAGATAAAAGAAAGATCGAAAATCAGATTGTAAGGCAAATGGGAATTTGATGAATACATGGAATTGGAAAATGTCACATTGGATTTATGAAATTCTCCCACTGCCATATTCCCTTGTAGTAGGCATTTCATTACCAACTTTGTTAAATCTAAAAACTATGGGCCAATTAAAAAGAAAATCCAAAGCTATCTTGAAGAGTCGTAGATATAGTTGTGATAAGATTCCCGAAAATTTATTCTGAATATTGCTGTCACACATCACCAACTAATGAAAGCCAAGAATTAAAGGGAAATTCTCAAGAATAGAATTGCTTCATGTTATGTTTCAATCGTTAAAGGTGGATTTAAATCTTTTATGTTTTTAATTTTTCAATAGATTATGGTTCTTATTCTCTAATCTATAATTCCTTGTGCTGTCATTTTGGGAATATGTTTTAGTATATGAATTTTCGGTCGCATCAAATGAACTTGTTAAGGTTTTCTAGGTCACCACAAGTTTATATGAAATAGCGGCCTCTCATGAGCCAAAAGGACAGTCAAAAGGGGCTTCTAAATATATCATCCAACTTTTTTTTTTTATATTTCATCAATTTGTTTTAAAAAATATTCATATAGTAAATACCAAATTTATCTTTTAATAAAATATAATTTTACTTTATTCTTTTTTTTTTCCTTTTATTCTTCTTTCTCATATACCTAGTAAAATATGGTATTTTTATGTTTTTGAAAATTCATTTCCGATAATATAGCATAATTTCAAAATTTTATTTCTAAAAATTATGATATATTTTTGTAAATAAATTTTTAAAATTTATGTTGTATTTTTAAAAATAAAGTTTCTTGAAAATGAATTTTCAAAAAATTTAAATTCTGCATAATCCATTTTGTAAATCTTAATCTATTTTTGCATACATTTAAATCAAATCAAATGAAATAAATATCAAAATCTTACTTTAATCAAAGAAAACTCTAAAAAACATATAATTTTAGAGTTAATTTGATGGATTTAAGATTAATTTGGGTTGAGATTAAAGCGAGAAAAGAAAGAAAAAAGAAAAAATATTGAGGGTATGAAGGGAAAATCAATTGTTGAAGGATGAGATGTATTTAGTAAAAATAAAAAATTTAAGTTAAAATTTAAGATATATTTAACAACAGAATGGATAGAATAAAAATAGGGTTGTAAATAAATTTCTGCCAGTCAAAATCTCCCCTCCACCAGCTAAGCCGTCACCTTTATAAAACCCACATTCCATTCTCGTTCTCTAGTCACTGGTATAGTTCTCAGCCATGGAATCTCAAAACCCCCAAACCCCTGAAAACCTAGCTGAAACACCTCCCAGCCGCAACCCCACCTCTCCTTTGCCAACCAACATAATTCATAAAGTGAAAAACAACTTTGTTTTTCAATCCAAATGGGCAGAATTGAATGGTGCCATGGGAGACTTGGGCACATATATTCCTATTGTGTTGGCCTTGACACTTGCCAAGGACCTTAATCTGGGCACCACATTAATACTCACTGGTGCCTACAACATTGTCACTGGCGCCATATATGGTGTTCCAATGCCGGTCCAACCCATGAAGTCGATTGCAGCAGTAGCCATATCTAGTGGTTCGGATTTTAATATCCCGGAAATTATGGCAGCTGGAATTTGTACTGGTGCAATTTTGTTGGTTTTGGGTGCTACAGGGTTGATGCAGCTAGCGTACAAACTGATACCTCTATCTGTTGTTAGGGGAATTCAGCTGTCACAAGGCTTATCGTTTGCTATGACTGCTGTTAATTACATTAGAAAGGTTCAGGATTTTTCCAAGTCAAAATCTCGAGGGAATAGGCATTGGCTGGGATTGGATGGATTGATTTTGGCTATTGTTTGTGCTTGTTTCATAATTGTTGTTATTGGTGCAGGCGGAGAAAGAAATGAACGAGATGCTAATGTTGATGAAGAAAGGAATATGAGAAGAAAAAGAATCAGGAAAATCATGGCTACTATTCCTTCAGCTGCTATCATTTTCTTGTTAGGTGTAGTTTTGGCATTCATACGAGGGCCTAAAGTGGTGAATGACATTAAATTTGGACCTTCTTCTATAGAAGTTGTGCAAATAACTAGTCATGCATGGAAGGAAGGTTTTATCAAGGGTACGATTCCCCAACTGCCTTTATCAGTACTAAACTCAGTGATTGCAGTCTGCAAGTTATCATCAGATCTTTTTCCAGGAAGGGAATTCTCAGCCACCTCGGTTTCGATAACTGTCGGGCTAATGAACTTGGTGGGTTGCTGGTTTGGTGCCATGCCATGCTGCCATGGTGCAGGTGGACTAGCTGGGCAGTACAAGTTTGGAGGCAGGAGTGGCGGTTGTGTAGCCATTCTTGGGGCAGCCAAAATGGTCCTGGGTTTGGTATTAGGAACTTCTTTAGTGACTATTTTGCACCAGTTTCCCGTTGGTCTCTTGGGTGTTTTACTCTTATTTGCAGGGATTGAACTAGCGATGACTAGCAGGGACATGAATTCCAAGGAAGAGTCGTTTGTGACATTAATATGCACAGCAATTTCCCTTGTAGGCTCAAGTGCAGCACTTGGCTTTGTTTGTGGAATGGTAGTGCACGTGCTTCTTAGGCTAAGGAACTTGAGCAGAGATCAGTCCAGCTCTACAGTTTGCATTCGTGGGACTCCATAACATCATGTTTTTTATTTCAGCTTTGAATAAAGAACGCCTGAAAGAACTTAATAAGTCTATGTTATTTCATTGAATTTCCTTGGTAGTAGTATTTAATAAGTTTTTTTTTTCTTTTCTCTTTTTTGTCCCTTTTTTGTTGGCTTTCAAAATCCAAACCCCGAAGGAAGGAAAGAAAAGAAAGAAAACAGAACCAATGCACAGCATATTCTCTATGATCCTGTCTTTTTATATGTTGGTTGAGACAAGCCCTCCCCAGACTGTTCACCCGCCTTTGTAAATGCAAGAATACATTATCCCTCCCACGGTTGCTCATTATGCCAAAGTCAATCTAACGCTGAAAACACACATCGCCTGTATTCTTTACGAATAAGTACACATTACATTGACAAAGTTAAGGATCTTGTCTTGTTTTTTTTATAAGTGAACAATGTCTACCATACAAACTAAATAAAAATCCACTAATCAGCCTTTAAAAATTATCATATTTTAGGGATGAGGATGTAGCAATATCTCTTAATGGATTATAGTCGGTTATAATAATACTAGTTTTTGGCACATTCATCACGCACGTGTAATTTTTATCTTCAAAATTTTATTTTAATAAATAATTTTTTTGAATCTATTATAATAATAGTAAATACTAATAATTTGATTTTGATTTTAGTATAATATAAGTACAATTTGATAATTTTTTATATAATTTTGATTTTGATAATCTTTGATAAAATTTTGATAATCTTGATACAATTTTGATAACTTATAATATAATTTTGATAACCGTTAATACAATTTTAGTAATCTTTTGATAACTTATGATATATTTTGGTAATTATTCATAAAATTTATGTTATCATATATTTAATAATGAATTTTTAATTTACTACTAAATTATCATTTATTTACTATTAAGTAATTACTAATTTATTACTAAATTATCAATGATTACTATTAAGTTATACTAATTATATTTAAGTTTTCAATTATTAATTATTCACTACTATGTTATCATTAATTTATGTATATATAAAAAAAATCACAACGAATACTAAATGATATAATTCCTAAGGGCAACAAAGAAAAAGAAAAAAATTTAAATGTAAATGATTTGAAAAGCATGAGTAAATACTTTTAATTTACTATAAGTAGTTTAACACATAATTATAAGTTAAAATCATAACTTTTTATGTTAATGCAAATATTAAAATTAAATTAAATTAATATATACAATAATATATATATAGTCAATATTTTGAAGAGATTCTTTAAATTTTTTAGTTCATGATAAAATATTATACATTAAGATAAGCTTTATTATTACGATTAAATTGAATTATTGCTGTATATGTTTTAATACCAATTAGCAAAGTACAATTGCATATAAAAAATTAAAATTTTTGAAGTGTTCTATCACTAATGGAAGTAATAAATTTTGCTATATATTTCTATTTTTAAATAAATAATTTTGAGTAAAATTTTTGTTATATAGGCTATAAAAGTAATGTGAGCAAATTTATTAAATAAAATTTATAAACATTAAAAAAATCATAATTTTAAAAAATATTAAATTCACAATAATTACCTTTGCATTTTTCGTAGAGATTTTCTTGTACTAAACAAAAGGATGGTATATTTTTAATTATTACTTTATTGTTATTTACATCATTCAAAATTATTTTTTTGATATTTTGATACCAATAAACTTTTTCATTTGGAAAGAGTAAAAAATATTGTAAGGGATAATAACAACTCAAATAATCTTTAACTCTAAGCTATCTTCTCAAGTAAGTATGAATTATGATATCTCTTTCTAATGAAATGTTTTTCTTAACTTATATAACAATAACTTAATTAATAAATGAATGATTATAAACTTATTGATCTAAATTAATATTTTTACAATACAAATTTCAAAATCCTTTATATTTATTTTTTAATCTCTGTAAGACTTGCATATAGGGATTTTTTTTTAGAATTATTATTACTATATCCATCAATTTTGCACTTAAATTTTCATTGTATTTTGTTCTTATTCTACTTTTAAATTTATTATCGATGTCATAAAAGTATAACTAAAATAACATAGATTAATCAACTCAAACTTAAAATAATTCAAAACTCAAATTGAATAAAAATAAAATTTTACTCATTTTAAAATTTAATTTAATTAAAAATAATATAATGCACATAATTATAAAATGGATTAACTTGACTTGATTTCAATTGATTTTAAAAGTTAACAATTTAGGAGTTATTTAAAATCTGAAATAATTGAACATAACCAAAATATAAATTTAAATAATAACCCAATCAAAAATCTAATATTTCTTATCTATCTTTCATAACAATTTAAAATTTCATTATTTAAGCTTTTTTTTCTTCATCTTCGATATCTTATTTTTATTGTTTTTGTGGTTGAAGTAGTTAATTAATTTTAAAAATATTTCTAAAATAAAATTACAATTATAAATAATTAAGTATACATTTTTTATTTGGATTTAAAACAATTTCAATTCAGTTCTTTAAATAAAAAGAAACGTGCATCAATTATTGAGTCAAATTTGCTCAGTTGCATAAATAAATAATTGAGTACATTATGAATAGAATTAGATAAAACTTGACTCAACCTAATTAGTCATTAATCTTAAGTTTAAAATCCAACTTAAAATTGTGAAAAGTCAAAATTCAAAATGATTGAAATGCTAAATACACAATTAAATAAAGATTCATTAAATAAATTTTGCTAGTGAATGCTTTTAAATCACTTTTAAGTTTAATTAAATTATAATTTATAATAATATTTTTATATTACATGTAATGATGATAATTAATTCGATAAATTTAAATTCATTTGAACAAATATTACCTAATATGGCATCTTAAAATTTTTTATATAACTGTGAATATTCTTAAACTAATATGAGGAAAATGAAGGAGTATACAATATTTTTCAAATAAAAGAGTTTTATATTAATCTTAAAGAAATTTAAAACCAATACATTTGTATATTTTTTATTGAACATCATATAGCATTAACTTTCTTTGTCATATAAAAAAGATGGAATTATACATAATTAATTAATCTTTTATCTCATTTTTTTTATTTAGGATAATCTTTCATTGATTCTTTCATTAATTGAATATAATTATTCGTTTTATCAATAAAAAAAATTAAAATTTTTCTTTATTAAAAAATTTTATTGTAAATAAATTTTTATTATATAAAAATATTAAAATACATAATTTTAAAAAATAAAATAAAATAAAATCCTAACCTTGGTACTTTTCATGTTTTATTAAAAAAATTTCAATTTTAAGAATAACAAACTTGTTATATAATACCTATATAATTTATAATGATTTTATTTTTAGCATTAATAATATAAATTTTCATGAATGAATATAATTTTAGCATAACATATTCGAAAGATATTTCTAATATATTTTGTCACACCTTAAAAGAATTCACCAAAAACTATTAATTTTACCTCACTTGATAATTTTTTAGTTAAAATAATTCACGTTAGGGCGTTCAATCACTTGGATGACAAAAAAAAAGTGAGCAATTTAATATGATTGAAAAAGATTAAATAATTTTTAGATATAAATTAATCATATATAAACTTAATAAGATAAAAATTGAGAGAAAATTAAATCAATTATTGTTTTAATCAAGAATGAACAGTTCTCATAGCAATTTGACGGGATCAAAAAGTCCACTTAAAATGTTCAATGAATCACATAATGCTAATTTTTTGTGAAAAAGGTGCAAGTGATTTGCATTTGACTTAATATTAGTTTTTGTTCATGGAAATCAATTATGAAATTCTAAAGAAAAAATATAAAAGAGAAATTAATTATAAAGGTCATACTAAAGTATAAAAATGATATATTAAAGAACTATTTCAAGAGACTAAAAAGATTTAATTATATTATCAATGATTAAATGATCAACTCATAAACATATAAATAATAAAATCATTATCATACATATATAGTTAATATATTAAAAACAAAAAATTAAAAAGGCAAAAAATAGAAAAAAAATGCTTAAATGACTTAATTATTATTATTTTTAATGAATTGATTTATCAATATAAACTGTATATACAATTGTTTTTACACAACTAAATAAATAAATAAATTTCATATAATTATGTTATTCTTATGCACATCAAGCTTTTATATTGTTCTATTTGTATTTTTAATTTATGTGTAAAATTATTCTACTTATAAAAAAAGAGTTTAATAATGAAATTAAAATCATTTAAATTAAATTTTATAAAAAATTACTAAAGATATTTTAATCTATTATTTTTAATATTTTTGGAATTAAAATTTTATTAAGGGTTTAATAAAAAACTTTTAACATTTTTTAGTCTAATTATAAAAAAAATCTAATAATAAAAAATTAAAATTTATTAAAAATTTTATTTAAGATATTTTAGTCAATCACTTTTTAACACTTTTAAAATTAAAATTTAAAAAAGTTTAATTTTTTATAAACTCTATTTTTAATTCTAATTTATTTAAATTAAACTTAAATAAATTAATAAAAATTAGATATTTAAAAATAAATTTATTAATTTAGAAATTTATAAAGGTATTTAAGTGGATCATTATTAACATTTTTGGAATTCAGGTGATATGTATACAAAATGGTGACTACATCAGATAAATTGCCTGAAGAAAAGGAAAAGGAGGGGGATCAAACCAAGCAAGAAGAAATGAAAGAAGTAATGGCAATGAGAAATTTACATGAAGGATTAGTCTTGAGAATGTACATCTTGGTCCAGAATGGTCCATTTCATGCGTCTTTCAGATCTTTGATACTGTAGTTCTCTCAGTCAAAGATACAGAAGTCAGAAGACATCATCATCAGTCTGCAGCCTTTGTTGTCGATTTTTCAACTAGAAAAAGAGCCTGACTTTTGTTTTGGATTTTTGGACGCTCAAAGCAAAAAAAATGGAAGTAGGACTAGGTCTTTTTATTCCTTTATCCAAATGGATTTGCCCCCGTCGTATGAAAAGAGGTTGGAGGATTAGATGCTGAGTGTCCTCCTTTAGGTCTCTGAGTTGTATTTAAGGAGCCCGAAGTAAATTCATCACTGCCGAAGCCACCAATTCCTTGTGGTCTGCGATGATAATACAAAATCTTAACTATATATCTCTTTAACAGAGAAATTCATATCAACCTTAGCCACAAAAGTTCATTATATACAGAGAGAATACTTGGTGATGGAGAGAGAGGGAAAGGAAAAGAGATCCATTCACAAAGTTATTAACTTGTTGTTTTAAACTCTATTCTTTTTAAGCTTAACATGCATGCTGGCTGAAGGAACACACTACTGTTATGCCTGCAACGCTTTTGGCCTAGATATCCAGTTATAGGAAAGCATCGTCCAACTTTTAGACCTTAGCTAAATTTTATTTACACTGGCATGTTTTTAACTTCTGTCTTAGGACTATGTGATGCATGCAGATAATATAAGACAGCCAGACTGAAATGTCACCTCGAAGGTGGCACACCAATGCGTGATTGATCTCCCACGTACGCACCTAAGATCATAAACTCATCATAAGCATAATAAAAACCATATTAATATGAAAATTTAGCATATTTAGAGGAGAATTTAATTTACTAGAAGGCATAGACGATGTGAAAGGTGACTTTGGAGTCATCAAAGATGCAAGATATGATGACTGAGATGCCATTCCTGAAGAATGGGAATCAACACTGGGTGTATGAGACAAGCCAGTAGAATCTTGGACGCTAGTGAGGGCTCCTAGCAAAGATGCCATTGAGGGAAACTATAGAACAAATAACAACTGACACATGTAAATTTGAAGGTTATAGCAAGTGCACTCAGAGACAAAAGATATTAATATTTTTGGAGAAATGGATGCCATGCCAGTGTATCAGAACAAGAATAAGAACTCTTGAAACCTTCAATCAAAAAGTTTTTATTATGAAACTATTATGGTATTCATAAAATGATGGTTATCAACTAAATAGATAACACGTCATTAAAGTAACTAAAAGTAGAAAAGGGGAGCAGAGGCAACTTTTATCTTTTAAAATATTAAGAAGAAAAAAGCAGTGATAAAAGTGTGCAATAAGTTGTATGTGGTGCCTACTGAAGGGGCTTGAGCTGGAGTCGTTTCACTGTTAAGATCAAATGGATTTGCCTTTGCACTGCTTGGAAATGCTGCATCATGCTGTAAACATATACATACATTTTAACATCTCCAAATATCAAGCAAGCATTAACATAGAAGTTACAGAATTCGAAATTCCTAGAGCCAAGATACCATTGCATTAGGATAATACTGCAAGCCAAATCCCGTTCCATGTGGTGGACCATTTTGCCAACCCAAAACTGCTGCAGGGGCTGACATATAGCTTGCAGTAAAGAGATCCTTCAGAGAGAGCAGCATATACTGTTAAGAAAATTCATAAATATTTGAGACAATTGAAGACAAAAGCATCACCTCTGGAAGTTCCTTTCTTCCAGTAGACTTTGTTTCTGCTGAAAGAGGCTGCACTCCAACTTCAGAACTTGTTTCTTCAGCTGATTTTGAGTTGGCTTGAGATGATTGTTCAGTAGTTACATTGGAAGATTCTTTAGGATTATGCATCAACGGTGAAGTACCATGCTGAAAACATGAACAGAAAGCAACAGGGTTAGCAAGTGAAATGGAATTCACACCAAATTTTATTAAAATACAGGGGTATATTCTTCATGTTTATTTATAGTTTCCTCCAACTTCTAATCAACTCCAATGATAACCTGGCTATTCAATGCTTCAACTGTTCTAGTACTTCGTTGTGCAGAAAAGCTATTATCAGAAGCAGAGAACATAGAAGACTGATGTTTTTGCACGATGGGAAAGACATGCCTCTCAGGAGCTTTGACAGTGTAATCGCTATTAATATCAGTTGAGCCTTGAAGAGGGCTCACATTGGAAGGTTTTTGTGGGATATTTATAACCAGTGGAACTGTTGAAGAACCAACGGTACTTGTCAATGCAAAAAACTGTTCTGTAGGTGCTGATAGAGAGACACTGTCTAATGAAATGTTCTGTCCAGATGCAGTTGATGGAGCACCTGCTGTGCCTGGTACTGCAGAGGCATTATCAACAGCTACCACAGATGGAGCTGACAGATCAAATAGTAAAAATTCCAAAGCATTCACATTGGTGGCAGGAGGTGCTTTTCCATTTGAAGAGAGTTCATCTGAAGACTGGTTACCACCATCACTTGATGGAGGCACTTGCTGCATATTTGGTGCTGCCACAGCATTAGAGGGCTCAGAATCCATACTGAAATCAATCAAACTTTCCATGTCACCAGATGACGCCATCTTCTGCAAAGTGACAAAATAACAGGATTAAGTGCAGAGAAATCGAAATAGAGTATGATAAGCTGCCAAATTAATAAAATCATGTAACAAAAGTCAAACTGCAAAACTACAAATAAAAAGTATCCACAGGTTCTCATGGGCACAATTCAAAACTGTACTCTATGAAACCAGTTCATGCACAAATCTATTTATATGTATTAAGCATACAAATATTAAATAAATGGTTCAAATATGCACGTGAAATCCTACGCAGAGTTTCCTAACTTAATTACAAACATCCCTTTTGAGATAACAAGAAGAAACTCTGATAAGGAAAAAATACCGAGGCTCAGCATAGTTTACAAGTAGTCACTACACCTTCTGCAGATTGTGCACTTGCTTATTCTAAACTTCTGAGTCATCATTGTACATGGTTAAGTAAACGTAAGCAATTGTGTTTCTTAGAAACAAAATAAAAGAATAATAAACAACAAACCTCTAAAAGGGAACACTGTTAAAGCCATATTTAAATAAAAAAGTAGCAATAATGTCACCTGGTTTTTAGCAGAACCATCAGGATCCCTTCCAGCTTTTTCTTTTGAATATTCACCCACCTGTAGAGCAGGAGCATTCTCCCCCAAAATATCTCTAACTGGGTGCACCACTAGAGACCTAGACCGATCTATTTGGTGGTCAGATAACCCGCTTCGTGTCGCAGGTTCTCTATGCGAAAAGCTGTGATTATCTTTTTGCCTCACACTTCCAGAACCATCATATCGGATCCTGTTATCAACAATCTCAATGCACACAGGGTTTCTACGGGAACCTCCATATCTTGAATTTTCTTGGGCGTATCGCGGACTTCTTGTCTCATTATAGACACCCCTAACAGTATCACTTCTTCCAGCAGTACTAGATCCTTCATTAGAACTCCATTCATGTCTATCTTCATAAAGTGGACTTTTGGATCTACCACTAAACACACTGACCTTCTTGCTTTCAGAGGAATCTGCCCTGTGTACCTGTATAATATGTACAAGAATCTATAAAAACATTGGAGTGGCATCTGACTGTGAGAGCAACCAAAAATGTGTTGACAATGTCAGTAGCACAAAATTAACGTGTCCTCAACTTGTTGAACTAGCCACTTATAAAATTAGAAGCTGATCAATATTGGCAACAACGAGTCGATAGAAGTAATGATAACAAACTAGAATCTATACATATGTTAACCGGAAAAATTACCAATCTCAGATTTGGAAGCCTGTCACTCCTCTCACCAGTGTATTTCCTATCCACATAGACATGCTTGATGAAATCTCGGAGCCTATGAAGATTACTGAAAGCAAACATACGTGAATCAGGACACATTCCCAATGGAGCATCAAAAAACTAAAGAAAGATGCTTGATAACCTGGCGTCAGGAAAAGAATGACGTTGAGGATCCCATGCTTTGAAGTAAATTTGTCTAGCCCGCTGCGAAACAAATGAGAAACAAATTAGATAATAAAAAACTGAAAGCAACCATATCACTGTTGACTATTCATACAGACCTCATTTCCTGCTGCTTGAAGAGCACTCACTTCTTCTTCACTAAATTTAGCCATTGATACAGATTTCACCCTATGAGTGAATTCCCTACTGAAATAGTTTAAACAACGCTTATGGTTAAATATGAACTGAACTGGGCAGTTTTTTACAACCCTGTAAGAACCTCATTCTAATTGTGATAAGAAAGCGAATACGAAAATTTAACTCTAGAAAAAGTAACAGAAGCAGGAAAACATATATGCTAAAACTTAACTGTATTCCACTACAAGTGGTGCAAACAAAAGTCAAGAAGGTGGTACAAACGTATTGGGGACCCTGCCAAGAACAGAGAATTAATTAATGTTAAGACTTGAATTTGCTTTAAAATTCATATTTCAATGCTATCAACAAGAAATTTAGGGAAAATTAGAATCATGGAAATTACAGTCTAATGCTTTTGATGATTTCCATACATAAAAACCATGAAACTTGAAATATATATATATATATATATATCTATATATATATAACAAATAGAATATCTAAGTGTGAAGAAGAGAAAACGAAAAGCATACCAAAAGATTGCAATTGATGCATCGTTTATTCTCGGGAAGTTTGAGAAGAGCCCGAATCGTCCTCTCGATTTTTTCATCTTCCTTTATCTTCTTCTTATTCACCATTTTCTCAAAAAAAAAAAAAAAGAAAAAGAAAATTTATCCCTCCTTCAACCAAAAAGAATCAGAATCCCAAATCATTCGAGATACAATCGCTTTGATAGAAAACAACATGATAATGCTCAGTTCATTTGGTAAATTGAGAAAACAACCTTATTTAAACTTTTCTCAGGAAAACAAACCAGAAGGCATAAATGAATAATTATTAGGCAGAGAAAGCAGGTAAATGAGAATGGAGATAAAACAGAGAAAGAAAGACAGAGAAAGGTGTGAAAGAGACAGGGAAATTTGCCGGGAAAAAAGGTTAGATGACCGTTTTGAGCCGTAGAAGTTGGCTCAGATTCCGCTTTTGTAGAGCCATTTTAGGTTAAAATATTTGGATGATTATTCTATCCATTAGATATAGAGATTTTTCATTTAATAAAGGGTAAAACAAAAAGAAGCTTCATATAAAATAATAATCCACCAATGTTTCGTTGCATTTTCTATTTCAACGTCAAGAAAGAAGCATTGGCCAAATAAAAAAGCATAACCAAAAGAATCAGGTCAGATCTTTTTGCGTCAAACGGCGGATTCCCCTTTGTCAATTTTTGCCACTGTGTTACCAAAAAAAAAAAAACCAGCAGTTTATTCGGAAAAAGAAACCAACATGTACTTTTTTTTTTATTTTGAGCGTAACCTAAGGTATAGTTAACTATAACATTTTTGGCCTTCACGGCCGCAGGAAACAAGTTTAGGCTTTCAAGCCAAAAATCATCAGGAGAGAAGTCACTGGTCAGAAGAACTAAAAGGCCTTGCTTGTGAATAAAAAAATCAAAAGATGAAAGAGTAGAAGAGAAAATTAGAAAAATAAATAATATATATTTGCGTGCTTCGTTAAAAAATAAAAATAAAAAATATATATATAACTTTTTTCATTCATTAGAGTTGAAAAATAATAAATAATAAAAATTATATGATTTTTTTTTTAAAATTAAAATAAAAAATCCAAATATAATGATTAATCCTATAAATATATTACTCTTATACCAAACATACTCAAAATTTATTTTCTTTCTATTTTTCTACCCTTTCTATCTTTTCCTTTTACACCAACAAAAACACTCTTAAGGCTTTCCTTGATAAGATAAATAAAAATAAATAATTTACTAATTTAATAATTAAGTTATAAAATAGGAAAGTAAATAAAAAATTAATTATGAATTTTAAGCTATAAAATAAATTAATTAATTAATTATTATGAATTTTTATTATCGAATTAACGAGTTTTTCATTTGCATTATTTTCCATCCCTCCTACTAATGGAAATGATGATGAAAAACTTAATAATTTAATGATTAAATTACAAAATAAAAAAATAAACATAAATTTTAATCAGTAAATTAACAAAATTTTCTTTCTCACCCTTTTCCATTCTTTCTATCCAACAAAGCCTAAAGAAAATTGTTGAAATTAATATTAGTGCTGAATTGCCTTCATTCCATTCCAGTACTTCTATCAACCACCACTAATGCACCCATCCTATCACCAGAAGCCCATAAATGCCACAATCAAAAATGGCAAATATTACCATCCCACCGCAAAGGTAAAGAATTGTGAACGGCTGAGTAAGGCTCTAAATGAATTAACTATACACGGATATATATTTGTTTTTATTCGTTTATTTTTAAAAATATTTATGTTCAGTTTTTATTCGTTAAAAAAATTATTTTGTTTGTTCATATTTATTTATTTAAATAATACATTATTCGCGTTTGATTTATATTCATTTAATTAAATTTAACGAATTCATTCGTAAACATTAAACAAATATATTTACGAACATATATAAATAAACACATTCATTAATAATAAAAAAATCATAATCAAATAAAGTTAAACAAACACTAAACAAATACAAACGAATCCAAATAAATATAAATAAATCTTAAAATAAAATTAAAATAAAAGATAAATATGTAAATTTATTAATATTATTATACACGAACAACAAATGAATAATAAATAAAAAATAAACAAATAAATTTTAAATAAATTTGTTCACGAATATAAACGAATTAAACAAATATCTATTCATATTCAGTTAATTTAATAAATAAATATAAAAATATTATTAAAAATTATTTATTAAACTTAATAAACTACTATAAACAAACAAAACCTAAACATATTCATGACTAGTACATCAAAAATTCTATTTGTCTACACCCCTAGATGGAAGAACGAGCAGATCAAATCTATGGAAACAGTTTCCGGAATCAAACTAGACCACGAAAGTAAGACTACCTAGTTCGCCACATGTTGCTGTTATTTCTTGAAACAATGATGAAGCAACACAAAAACAAAACAACAGCCTACATATAATGGCTTCCGAATTCATCCCTTGCTTCAGACAAATCAAAATCAATAGACACAAGAAACAGTGAGGAAGCAACAAAAGATTCTTGCCCTTCAATGAATCTCTATGAAAATTTATAAATTACTTACAGCATTTTCTTTTTCTCATTTCAGATGTACGCTTTGTTTCAAACATATCTACGACATGCTCCAAACATTTCAATCAGACAGGAAATTTTAATTTGATTCCAAAGGGGTGCTGTATTATGTCGGCCACCTGCTACTCTGATATCAAGGCTAAGGGGAGAAAACAAACAAAATAAGAGGTAAGGGGGAAAAAATTATGTACAAAGAACGGCTGTCAAAATTCCCATACACCCCTTAGCGGCAGGATTAAAATAACAGATGCACTGAACGGAGTAACCTGCTGTTGGGGTTAAAAAGAAACCTAATGGCCAGAAAAGCTGTGAGGTTGCACAACAAAAAACTGCCATGATACGTAGCAGAAGCAAAAAAGTACTCTTGCTGCTCCCAGCTCTCCTGTCAGAACTTTTACACTTGAACAGTCCATGACAACTCCACGCCACCATCACCGAGAAAGGAAAAACCAGATCCATCCCAGGGAAAACAATGTCAATTCTTTTTGGTAATCTTCAATACCAGAAGTGCATGGTGCTGGCTAATTTCATTCTATCAACACTCCAGGCTTCATCAGATCATTCTACCCATCACCATTTAAATTCTCAGATGATTCTTTGATTGCCTCTGCAGTCATGAGAGCAACCACAGCCTTGTGAATTGCTAGATCTGCTCTGAAGAGCAATTTCTGAGCTTTTTCTTGCTTGAACTTGGCCATTTTAAGTGCATGCCAGGCTGCGCTAGATGCGTCACGCACTCTGAACTCATCAATATCAGAATTATCCAACTGTTCAGGACCATGCCTTTGAAATCCATCTGAGAAGTAATGCCGCTGGCTTGGCCACCCAGAAAAGCTCATGTTCCCCCTATGAATTCTATCTCTCTTGCTAATTAGTCTCCAACTATATGAAGTCATCATGTGTGTGTCATTTGAGGATAGAAAAGTCCCAAATTTCTTTGACTTGCTTCTTTGAAGTTTCTGGTGATGATTCTTATCAAACCCATCACCGCCCATGGGGAAATATCCCATGCTACCTGCATCTCGTGGAGAAAATACCCTTGGTGATGCCTGAGACAGCGGGGAATCTTCTAAAGATTCATAGTTATGCACAGGATATATAAACTTTTCATCCCCAAAAAGGAACCCATTTGATCTTCTGCCTGAAATGACAACAAATGAAGTCAGACTCATAAAGGAAAACATAATAAAAAAGCCAGAAGAAATGAAATCATAAAGAACATTACCGAAGGAATGACAACCCTCATGATCTTCCAATGCAGGGTGGCTTTGACCATAAACTGAAATTTTCCTGTGGGATCTTTGTTTTGACCCTTTATTTGGAACTTCCAAACCCCGGGGTTTCAAACAGAAAGCAAACATGGGTGGCTTCTCAATCAGTGGAACCTTATCTAAGCATCCATTGGACAGAATGGGGTTAGCTTTAGACATAGCTAGCTCCCACTCTCTCATTTGCCGTTGGTACTTTTCCCATAATGGCAGCTGAATGACAACCAAATATTTTATCATAAGTTAGACTGCATAAAATATTTAAGATAAAATAAAACACATGAACAACAAACAAACCACAGTAAACATGGTATAATTATCAGGTAAAATCAGAGCCTTGAGAGATGAACTTGAAAAATTCTGAGGGCTCTAAAATTAGATAGTAAATAGATGCAATACAAATACGACACCCCATCATATACTCAATAATAATTAGGCTTAAAAAAAAAAGAAAAAGAAAAATGCAAACAAATAAACAAACAACACCTGAAGACAACTTACTCTTGGTGACAAGCACAGAGTAGGTAATCAATTTTTTGTTTTCTTACATTTAGAATGAATAAGAATGATAAATAACATATAATTCTTCAAAATATAATTGATTTAGTGAAGGCTCAGAACTTCAAACGTAATAGCAACAGCCCACCAAAAATAAAAAATTGCAATCCCAATATGAAATACACGTGCACATCCAAGGGTGTGATTGTGTTGATAATGGTCCAAGTGAGACAAGTTTTTAAGAGGACACATGAAACAAGAAAAACAGCAATACACCTTATAACATAGGGCCACAAGGGGCTGGATTCTAATACAATTCGCTGACCTGATTCTTGCGGAAAACAGAAAGCATTTAAGGAAGCATTTAAGATAGCTAAGTTTCACACCTAGGATGCCATAGGAGTCACAACTAAGGTTGACTGCAATACACGATCAAGACGAGGAAAGATCCTAAGCTTCACAACCAGGGACTTTAGGAGTCACACCTAAGGTTGATTGCATCACTCCATCACAAAAACAATAATGCTGGAAATAATCTGATAATAATTTATATCTCAATAGAAAGAGTATATTGGTTTATACAGACTCCTAGAATCCCTAATCCACATGCTATGTTCGGGAAGATGAACTTCAAATAGCGAATTTAGATTTAATTTTTCATATAAATTTCAAGGATGAATGCAAATATGGCAAGGACAAGTGTTTGTGAAGAAACTACATATAAATAAATTAATAGATGAACAGTATTAAGACTACTGAATACATATGGAAAACCAAGTACTTCAGTAAATCAAGTGCACTTGCACCGAAAAGATGTTGACAATTTCAATTAGCTTGTACAGTAAAAGGCATTGCTATTATAAAAATAAAAGGAAAGAAATCCACAAAATAAAGGCATTTCAAACAATACCTGGAGATGTCGAATTAAAGGCATTCCAACTCTCTGCCTTTTCTGCCGCCAATGCTCATAGATTCTTCCTATTACTTTCATGGACTCAACTCCAGCCATGAGCTCTTGTATTTCATCATAATTAAACTGATCGCGCTGTTGAGTATAAGCATACTTCTCAAACATGTCCATAGTCTTCTCAAACATTTCATCAGAAAATTCCAATGAGTTGCTGCTAACATCACCTTCTGCAGATTTGCGAATTCTCGAAATCCAATGTTCATCATCACTATCCATGTCATATAAAACACGAGATGGATCCAGAGCAATCCCAACATCAGTTTCGACCTGCCGCAAGTACTTGGAAGAACTTCGAACAAATATCAGTTCTGTTGCATTTTTATCATATTCTTCTATCAAGCGAACCCCAGGAATAGGAATGTTCTTAACTGAAGCAGCTTGAACATTTCGATTGTAGCACTCTTCATGCATCTCCTTGAAAAGAGCCCACTGGCTCCTGTCAGTGAACTCCAAGATCCAATCCTTTCCTCCTTTCCACATCATAGCGTGCGTAAAACGATTGGTAGTTCCAGGCTGCAGGAACTGATGTGCCTTGTAAGAGTACCTCGTAGACCCTGACACCTTCACAGCTAGCTTCCATTCATTATGATCAAAGAGCTCAAGCACAACCTGTGCTCCACATTCGCGCCATCCTCTGTCACCAAGGGTAATTAGTACGTTTGCATCACAAGATAATAACTCCAAGTTTCTTTGGGAACCTCTAGAAACATCAGATGATCTCTTCTCATTAGCCCTCCTAATTCGCTTATGAGGAAGACCTCTCTGGTGATGGCCTTTATTCTTTGAGCTGTAATCTAAAGCTCCAAGGGGCATTGAGTAAGATACCTGAGTTCGTGGCTTCTTAGGTCCATTTCCAAAATTATTGTGGAAGAAATCAGCCTTTCCATCTGACCATCCATGGGCATCATAACCTATCGATGAAGAAGTAATTCTATTTCGATGCCATGTACTTCTAGGGGCAGTAGGATTAGGACTTGGGATAATGCCACTGTTCATATTCCAAGTCAAATCAGAAGACTGTTGTGTAATGAGTAATTCACCATCAACATGCTCTTCGTATCGATCAAAGGGTGGAATCTCAACCCTAATACCATTCAAAACAGAACTAGACCCTGTAGTCTTCTTATCACAATCAATTGGAGACTTCGATGACGAAAGAATTTGCTGAGACTCTGAATGGTCACATTGTTGCTTCTGTAATAGACCAATGGTCATGGCTCCAACTTCTCCAAATTTATGAGAGCTGGCAGAAGTTCCATCAACAGTTTGATCACCATATTCGTATGTCCTCAAGGACTGTGTCCAAAATCCACTACCACAAACAGGGAGATCAAGTGTTTTTAACTGAGTGTCAGAAGCAACATCCTTTAATGAAGCCTTCATATTTTTTTCTACAATACTTTTAGAACTTTTTTTCACATGGTCCTCTCTACTAGAACAGTCATCCACCAACAAATTACCAGAGCTTCCTGGTTGCTCAATAGAGTCATGATCCTGAAAGCTGATGCAAGCAATGCTATGTTCCATAAGTAGCTTAAGATGCAAACCGAAAAAGAAAGTAGGTGCAGCACCAAAAGAAAGGGCAAACAGAGGAACATCTCTGTGCCTCTTCTCAGAATTGGAAGAAAATTGACCAACTTTCAGAAAACTAGATTCTCTGGAGACACCCATAAGGTTGATGCACGGCCTATACCTTCTCCTTAAACCCTGGTCAATAGCAAACAAATTTCATAACATTTAATAACAGCCACCAAACAAAAGAAAGACATTAGCTATCTGACCATACAGCAATGAAAAAACTCTCTGGAACGCATGGCTGATAGTTAAATGACCACACAAAACTAATAAACAGCCGAGGAAAGCTCAAACTAATTAGAGTGTGTTTGGTTCAGGGGAATCCACAAATTTTCTCCCGGAATCTTGATGGTGGGTATTTGTTTCCCACGTTTGGTTAAGGGTAATCCAATTACGGGGGGAAATGTCAGATTCCCAACAATACCCAAAGTTCCAGAATCAGAAACCTACCTCCCTATGGTATTTTAGGATTCTAGGGGAAAAGTTTGCCTTATTTCCAAATTTAACCTGAATAAAAAATTTGTCACATATCCATTATCCTTTTGAAAAGTACATCTAGAACTCAGTTTTAGCTTTTTTTAAAAAAACATTTGCCTTATTTTTAACTTAGTTTTAATATGTGGCAATTAAGGTGTTTCAAGGAAGAAACGCCTTAATTGATTATCAATTAAGGCATTTCCTTTGAACAAATGCCTTATTTGATGCTTTTTCTAAAATCTTTACAAAAGCATTAAATAAGGCGTTTCAAGGAAAGAAACGACTTAATTGATATCAATTAAGGTGTTTCCTTTGAACAAATACCTTATTTGATACTATTTCCAGAATCTTTACAAAATATCAAAAAAGGCATTTCTTTCTTGAAACGCCTTAATTGATTAAGGCGTTTCCTTTGAACAAACGCCTTATTTGATGTTTTCTTTAACATATTTACAAAAGCAAATAAGGCATTTAGCTCTTCCAAACGCCATAATCGATTTTTTTTATATTTTAATAAAACAATTACGGCTTGATGTCTAATAAAACGCCATAATCGGGTATATTTAATTAAAAAAAAAATCTTTCTTTTCTTTTGCTACTAAATGCATCATTTGTCGTTTGGGTTTTTTTTTATTAAAACAAAATGAAAGGTTGCCTACAACTTGTCAAGGAGATTAAGATAATTATACATGAATTAATAAACCAAGATTCCCCCCAAACAAACAAGTGAATCTGATAACAGGATGCCCTGAAAATCAAACAAAACCCGGAGTATCAAACTTTCCCCCGGTATCCAAAATTCCGCGAACTAAACGCCCCCTTAGGGTCTTTCTGAGGCATGGGTTTCTTTTTTTCCCCTTCTTTTTGCAAGGGCAAGTGTGGTTTTTATATGCCAATAGTAAAAGATAAAACATGTATTTCCATGAGAAGACGATAATCACAAGTCACACACATAAAAATAAATCACCTCTGAGATTTCAATAGCCAAATAACATGGAAACAAAGCTTACCTCAAGTGACGAGGAGTCTTTGCATGAAGGAGAACTAAGTAGCAGATTAGTTCTGTCCCGAAGTGCCTTAATGTTATCATAAGTGCACTCAGACATGGGTAATTGCCCATTGAGCAGACAATGTCTTTTCAGCTTAGAATCCAAGGACATCCACTTTGAATGCTTCACTTCATGGAAGTTGTAAAAAGCAAAGACAATCTGCTTCCTAAAATCTTGAGAGCAAGAAAACTTGAACCTGATTGAAGTTACAGGCAACTGCAAATCAGCAAACTTACCTTGCTTGGTAGGTCGATAAAATATCATCAGGACCTGGAAAACAAAAGCTACAGCCTGTTTCAGGGAACCTTCAAACAGGAGAAACCTTAGTCCAACTTCATTATCAACAAAAAGAATCTCTAGATGAACCATTGGCCAGACAATCATCATCATACCACACTGAAGTAGCAACTTATGAACCAGCCAAATGCTTTTTGTTCCAAATAAGTTATTTGCAACAGAAAGCATAGGGAAGCTCAACCCAAACCTGAATCGTTCTGAATGTAACAACGAAATATTTAATAGTAAATGCCCTGCATTATCACTAAAAACCAAATCTCCTTGAGGATCCGACCTTCCCACACAAACATCAAGTTCTCCCAAATCCTGAAATTCATCAACAGAGCCATGGGAAGTGATAGATTCAGACACACTATTGGCAGAATAATTGCATTGCGAAGCCTGACACCATACTTTATCTGTCCTGCGAAGCCGCCTTCTAAAATAAACAATAGGATGTTTGCTGTTGGGGCAACTAATGCTATCCAAGGAAGAATCTTCAACCCTTCTGCCATCAACGGGTCTGTCTGGCAATGAAGAGGCACTGAACAAATTAACTTTGTTCCCCTTCAATGAAGCCTCAGACAGACAACCATTTTCATCTATAGCTTCATCATATGACAATGGCTGCCCCAGCGTACTAAGAGACGAAGCAGATGTTTTCTGTCTCTTCACAGCATGAAAAGGGCAGGATTTGATAAGATGACCAGCGCGAGCCAACCAGGAGATGATAGGCTCTGAATCCATATAGCTCCCATTACCACTGTCATCTTCTGTCATGACATTTCTGTTCCTCTTCTCTTTGTTGAGCTTCATGTTCCTGGTTCTATCATCAGAACTCCTCTCTCGCCGAGATCTTTTCAGCTGAAACTTGCTTGGAACTTCACTGGGAAAAAGCAGGAGTTTAAATCTCTCATTCTGTAAGTTTATCCATTCCTCATCGCGGTCATCATATTTTACATGGTGAAGCTTTCTCTCTTTGTCATAGTCATTGACAAGGCCATAATACCAACTCTTGTCCAAAGGCCAAAACACTTTGATTCTTCTATTCAACACACAGTGTGCATCCATGTCTCCAGAGAAAATTTCATAAAAATGGCGCCTTTTCCTTGAGTTGGCCTTCTCTTTATGACTTTTCCTTGGTCTCAATACCCTACCAGAAGCATCAACGGATGCAGATTCAGAACCAGACAAATTCTTGGACCCAGAACTAGCATTCCGACCAGAAGATAAGAGAAAAGACAGTCCATTCTCAGATGGCGATACAAAGACTTTGCTGTTTGAAGAAAATCCAGTACAGCTTGGGTCAAACCGTGATGATAACATCCTTGCCGCATTCTCTTCAAGATTCTCTTCATCATCTTCTTGAAAATCATCACATGTCTTAACAGACGAATCTAATAAACTCTCAGCCTTCTTAGCACCACCGTTACCACCCTTTACAGAATCCTTCCTCTTCCTAGGCTTCCTCTGTGATTTTTTTAATGAAGAGCCACCATCATTTACAGCTGAGTAACCAGTAACACCATCTTCTTCCTTCAAATGCTGAACTGAACTAGACTCACTGTTTCTATTTTTCTTAAAATCATCAATAAACTTCTCCTTTTTAACCTTCAAAGACTCGTTCTGACTGCCAGAATCATCACAGGCTAGCTTCACCTCCTCACTAACAACAACAACTTTACTACTAAATCGCCCTGCCAACTTCAACACTTGACTATCCTCAAACTTGTTCCGCCCCACAAACCCTCGTTTACGCCTCGGGATCCTAGCACCACTGCCACCCAAATTAAGTGAAATTCCATTAACAGTGGAACCATTCTTGGATGTCTGACTCAAACCCAACTTCTTTAAACTTTCTGAACCATGCAACCTCGAACTGCAACCCCCATTATACACTTCAGTTAAACTCTTGCTACTATTGCTATCATGGACAGTTCTAAAACTAATGAGAGGAGAAGCTTTCCTACTCTTCTTTCTCTTGTTATTATGATTACTATTCCTCTTCTCACCGTCATCTTCTTGCGAACTTTCTTTCCTCTTTAAACTCTTACTTTTAGAAGACTCCTTCAAATCACCAGATTTATACAAACTCTTAAGATCCAAAGATCTTGATTTCTTAGGAATTTCCACTCCATGAGAGTTCCCTATTCTATTTTCCATCAACAATCCCTCAATCCAAACAGGGAAATCCCAATCTCCCACTTTTCACATTCCCATCAAACATGCTTCAGATCTGTAAAACCAGAAATGCACCCCCAAAAATCATGAAAAAAGAAAAATCCCTCAAATTTTCTATAAATTAGACGATCAATCCCGATATTCATATGTTCAAATCATTTCTTTAACAAATTAAACAATTAGCAAAGAAAACCGCAATAAAATTTATTACTTACTTGGATCGGTGTGTCAAAGAACATCAATTTCTCCGCTGAATCGTGAATATCAAGAGTACGAGCGTAGGCTAGGGTTTGAATCTAGGGATTTTGAATTGAAAATAATTTCTGACAAATTTTGTCGATTTTTTTATTAATTTCTCAATAAATTTTGTTTTCTGAAATTCATTTTTTTGGTTCTTTTTTTACCGTACGAGACGGGACGAGCCCTGGGGTTTCTTTCGGTTTCACGAGAGCAAGGGTTTAGATCGAAAATAACAAAAAAACAAAAACAAAAAAGAATTCATAAATCAAAATTTGAAAAATAGGAAAAATGTTTCTAGGCTTTTCGATTAAGCTACGTGGCAATATGCTAACCCTCGGATTTAGAAAGTGTGGTGGAGTTCTTGTTCTGATTATTTAAAGCTGCCTGATTTATTAATACGGATCCACATTTTCGGGGTAAAAAAAGAGATTATCGAACGGCCACAATTGGGTATAAAGAAGAGTGGACGGTTTAGATTTTGAATGGATATGAGAGATGTGTGGTATTTAACCGGCACAATTTTGTTAAAAAACGGTAAATTGGAAGAAAAAAAAAAAGAAAAAGGTTTTATTTCACATTTCCATTTTCGTATTAGTTAACTGACCCTAATGATTTAGGGAAATAGCAAAAATGCCATCGAGATTTAAGTTAGTAGGTGCCATTAAAGAAGTGAGAAAGCCACTCGCCAAAATGGAGCGTAGAGGAACTCTCTTTAATTCTGAACACGTGGTAGCAGATGTGACCAGTGTCACGTATCTGGACTTAAAACGGCGAGTTCGTTGTTGTTGTACGTGCGAGGGAAGGTACTGTATGAAAGATGGTAACTGTACAACAGACACAGACTGACGTGGTGAAAACTAAAAGTTAGATGACACTTCTATCCTTCAAATTTCTCGTAATCACACTTTTGTCCAAAACGAAAAAGTTTTTTCCTCAGCATAACAAATCATTAAATAATCCATGATATAGTAGCATTGTTAATGTTAATTAAATTATAAATTTATAATAACTAGAATTTGATTGAGAAAAATGTATTTTCAAATAGATAAGAAAGTTACTGTAGTAAAAAATTTTAACAGTTTTTTTTTTTAGAGTAGGTATTTTTTAAAGAATATATGTTTTTATAAAATTTAAAATATATATGAATACTTTCAATTTTATTTTTGAATATTTTTTAACTAAATTATTAACACTTAATTCATGAAATCAATTCAATCAAAAACTTTTTATGTAATATAAATAAATAAGTTATCATATATAATATTATATTACAATATACATAAAAATTTAATAAGATTTATTTATATGAATATTTAGATGGATAACTTATATTATTAACACGTAAGATATTTTCAAATAACTTCATTAAATCAATTATTTAATTTTTAAAAATTTTAAAGTTTCAAAATTTACATTTATCAAATATTTTCAAATATATAAGATTTATCTTAATTTAAATATAATAAAATACATCTTCTCATATTTCACTCTTATCTAATTCAAATAGTTTTTAAAAGTTAAATTTCAAATTCTTAAAAATCATAAAATATTATACACCGTTTAAATTAATATTCATATAAATTTAAATTAATAAAATTTGTGATTGAATCACTGTTATTTATCCATTTTTGTCTTTATTTTTTTATAATTTAAAATAAAAAAATTTATCTCAATTTAAAATTACACACATATCTAAATTTAAAATTATAATGACTTCTTTTATCTTAATTTAAAATTAAACTTGGATAAACTAAATTTTTAAAATTTTAGATTTTTTTAAATTAAATAATTATTAAATATATATTTATGATTTTTTTTCATAATCAATATTTTATTTTCGTCATAAAAGTTTGACAAGATAAAATTTTAAACTTAAATGTGAAAGTCTTTCATGACATATTACATGTGTAAATATTAATTTTTATACTAAAATAATATATACTTTTAAAAATTTTATGTAATTGTGAATAAAATATTAAATTTTTCATTGATATTTGTATATAATTTTATTTTCATAATCTAAAATTTTTGTAATACTTATTTAGATTCTTTCATAATAATTTATATATCGACAATTATTTTAATTTTAAATTACAAATTCTAAATGATTATGATATTTTTATTTATCTATATATAATATAAAAATTAATATAAATTAAAAGTTTAACTATAAAAAAATATAATAAAAAAACTCCTGCATGGCACGGATAAAAAATACTAGTTGATTTATTATTTTACCCATACAACGAGTGTATATTAATAATACGCATTATTGGAGTATAACACTAATATTTTATTATTCCTAAATTAATTTAATTTAAAATATTTAAGTTGCCTTATTCACTCAAAATAAGAGCTGAAAATAGAATATTATTATATAGATTTAAAACTTGGTAAATCAAAGTTTTCTTAAAGAAAAAATCCATATATCGTATTGATGGGAAAATAAATTGATAAAAAAATGAAAAAAGATACTCATTATTATTTTATCACACATTAGAAAACATGTATGATTATTTTATTTCTATTATGTTTAATAATTACCATTATGATTATAAATGAAGAGTATATTGGTTGCTAATTTAAATTGTGCTTAAATGGATTAAATTATTCCATGTGAAATATTTACATACTTGACATGAATTATTTGGATTAGATATTTATATTGCTTATATTATTAAAATTTTTTATTAAGTTAATGTTACCGTTAAGCAACATAAATTCAATTAGTGAATTACTTAAAAGTTAAAATAAAATAATATTAAAAATATATAAATAGAGATCTTTACATTTTTATACATTTTTCACATATATTTTTTAAAAAAATTGTCCACTAAATTTATCAAGTAACTTTTTTTATTAGGTAAATTATTATTTTTTACTAACATCAAGAATATGTGAAAATAATTTATTTTTTAAAAACAAAATAACTGATTTTTACATGAATTTAATAAAAACAACCCCACCCATCAATGAACTTCGTTTGGTTTTTAGGACTCTTTTTGTTCACTTGCGTAATGAATGTGGCCACAACGATAAGATGCGGAAAAAGTTAAAGAGCAAATTCGAGCAAAATTCTATTGTTGTGGCTTGCTTACTTGCCTTAAAAAAAAAAAAAAAAGGCTAAAACGGTAAAATATATATCGAGGGACTCAAATGCAAAAAATTACCTTAGGAGATCATTTACGCGGCTTACCCATCGGCCATTGGCCCCAAAATCTTCTGCCAAGCTCTTTCCTCCATTTCGGATGTATCGCTTCGTTACCTGCTAAAGCCACACCCGAAATTCGTTGGGTTCAATTTCACCCTCCGATCGCATTAATGTGATGAAAAGAAGCTTACACGTCACAAATTATAAGCGTTTATATCGATCTCGATCTAGATCTAACGCTTCAATTTCGTCTCCTCTTGAAAATTGGACCATATTCGATAGCGTTTTCTTCCAAATTAAGGTCGATCTGGAAGATTAGGGTTTCAGATCTCTCCAATTCGAAGTAAGAATCTCCGTCCATACCCGTAATTTTTGCTTAATTTCGAAGAAAACGCAGGAAATTATGCTTTTGTAGCCTTTCCGTTTTCCTTTTTCTTAGGGAATCAAATGCTAGGCTAGGGATTTTGCGAGTGTTTTTTGGAGATCGGGGAGGTTAACAAAAAAATGCCTGTAAAAGTGGTTCAATCGTCAGTTAGGGATCGGACGCAAGAATTTCAGAGCGCAGCAGAGAGTTTAAGGAAGTCGTTCTCGTCTGGGCCGGGCCAAAATGGACTGAGTAGCAGTACGTCTAGAGCGGACGAACAGAGATCTATGGTTGCGCATCAATCGGAGTTTAATAGGAGGGCTTCTAAGATTGGATTTGGGATTCATCAGACTTCGCATAAGCTTTCAAATTTAGCAAAATGTAAGTACTTTTATCTGCTTTACTTACATTTAAAAAAAAAATTTAAGAAATGCACAAAAATAGATGGAGGTTTATATGGTATAGTATTTATCAGGATGAAGGTAAGCCAGATATGGATGATTTAAAACCTGAAATTTAGCTTCTCAGGACATATAGCTTAGAATTTAGGAGCGTTTTGGTTTGGGTTGGAAAATCAATCTTTTAAACTGAAAAGCTACATTTTTTTATTTGTTTATCATAGTGTTTGGTTCAAAAGCAGCTTTTGATTGCAAAAGTTGCTTTCAACAGCAATGCTAAAGGAGGCCTTAGTTACTTAAAAGAATTTCAATCTGGTTTAATTTTTGAAAAACTGTACTTGAATAGCTAAAAAACTCCTGTTGGGTCAAAAAAGCAGTTAAGAGTAGAAGCTAGAAGCAAAATGTTCATTGAGGCTTTGTTTGGTAATACGTATGGAAAAGTGGAAGGATAGAAAATTGAGAGAATAGAAAAGTGGAAGGAATGAAAATATAATTTTGCTTCTTTCCTCTGTTGGCTTTCTATACAATGCTTGATAAAATGAAAAGTGAAAGAAAAGAAATGAAAGTCACATGATTTAACCTTTTATAACTTTTGTTAGTGGAGATAGAAGGCTAACTATTTTATAAAGGTGGACAACTTTGTACATTTGCTGCATTTAACTCACAAAATAGACCATTCTCTCCCTTAAGATTTCTAATTTGAGAGGATTGAGTTTTTGTTAGTATGGGCAGGGCCAGCTCGAGCCTACTAGGCCTCCCTCTTTTAAAAATCAACCTTGAGTTCGGTCCTGTCTGCCCATTTATATATTATATTATTATCAAAATAATAAAATATTATTTTATATTAATATTTCAGAATATGTTTTAGAATTAAAATTAAATAAGTATATTATTTATTAATAAATAATTTAATTGCATTGGACCTTTCCTCTGGCCTAAAAGCCTGGACCAAATTGGAATGGGACCAAGGGCTTGGCCAGGTGACCAGGCCTTGAGGATGCCTACAGAAAATGGCATTTGCACATATTACTGATCTTACCAAGCATGAGTCAAAATCATGTTCTTCAATCTATTTCACCTTCCCCTTTCCATTCTCTCACTTTCCTTTTCTACCAGGTTAAGTCTTTAATGATGCCAGTGAATGATGATATTTGTTTGGTTATGTTTATACATGATTCATTTATTGTACATGAGTGGACTATGAAGCTACTCATTTGTCAAATATTACTCTGCTTATAAGTTGATATCTGTGCAGATATCTCAAAACCATCCTTCTGCTCTCCCCCTTCCTTTTTTTTGTCTGTGATTTGATGGGAATTGAATTAACATATGCTAGACTTGACCATCAAAATTGAAGTAGGAAATGATCCCATCTTGGTTGTCTTGGTTTAGATTGTACTATTGTTGTAGCTGAACTTGATGAAATCCATTCCAGTCTGCACAACTGTCAACGACAGCTATAGAAGACAAACAGACTAGGTATTCATAGGAGTATGCCATTGCTGTTATTGTTATCGTAGTTACTATGTTCCCACATATTTTTCATTCATTATGTTCTTGTTACCCTATATTTTGCTTACTTTTGCAGTGGCCAAGAGGACTTCAGTTTTTGATGACCCTACTATGGAAATCCAGGAGCTTACTGCAGTTATCAAGCAGGATATCACTGCACTTAATTCTGCAGTGGTAGACCTTCAGCTTTTCTGCAATTCTAGAAACGAAGGTGGTGTCTCCAGTGACACTTCTAGTCATTCAACCACAGTCGTTGATGACTTGAAGAATCGCTTGATGAGTGCCACGAAAGTGTTCAAAGAAGTCCTCACCATGCGAACAGAGGTAAGGCCAAGCTTTTTCAGTGTGTTTGCTCACTTAGTTTACCTAGATCTGTTTTGTTACTATTCTTTGTAGTTATGTCATTAGTAATTCATTCCCTTTACAATTTACAGTAATTGAATTGCCTTGTACAGAATTTAAAAGTTCATGAGAATAGAAGACAGTTATTTTCTTCTGCTTCAAAAGATTCTCCAAATCCTTTTGTACGGCAGCGCCCCCTGGCTGTCAAATCAGCAGCTGGAGCTTCAAACAACCTTCCTCAATGGGCTAATGGGTCTGCATCTTCATCACAGTTGTTTCCCAGGTAACAGTTCTTCAGATTTTTTGCAGGAATATAATTATAACTAATTTTTTTTCCACAAGTAACATACCTCTGACTTATTAACTGGATAAAATGATTTAGCACTTAGAAGTCTTGAATTTTCTTTAGGAACTTCCAAGTCCATTTAACGATAATTTGTTATTGAATGCTCATTGAACATTTCTTAAAATTGCTCTCGTGCTTTTTAGCAGCTGTGACAATTGCATACTGCTTTTCCTTTGCCAGAACAGCCACAAAATTCTATTTTCTTTTTTGCCGTGCATGTAGGGCGTGCATGTGCTTGTGATGGTTGAGTGATATTGCATTTGCTTTAATTCTTCATGCAGTCTTTTTTTTTTTTTTATATGTTAATATTCATTTCTTTTTCTAATTCTTTTGGAATCAACTACTGTTTACTGCTATTGTTTTAGTCTAGTTGTTTAACTTCTTATATGAACTATATCAACTTGAAATTCTGTACAACATTGAACTTCATTTCTGGTTCTTAATTATACAGAAAGCAGGTGGATGCGGAGAGTCAGCCATTGTTTGCGCAGCAACAGCAGCAGCAGCAGCAACAACAAATGGTTCCATTGCACGACAGTTACATGCAGAGCAGAGCTCAAGCTCTTCAAAATGTAGAATCTACTATTCATGAGCTAGGCACCATCTTCAACCAGCTAGCTACTCTGGTTTCTCAGCAAGGAGAGATAGCTATCAGGTGTATTTATTTATTTTTTAAAGTAACTCCACTCAGCATACATATTACTTTTTTTTCTTTCTTAATGTATCACTTGCCACATAAGGTGTTTTATGTCATAGTATGATGCATTCTGTATCGTTATAGTAGTTACTGTTCATGTTTATCCTGTTTGGAATTCCTAACAGTGTATATGGTCATTGATGAAGTTGACTAAGCTGTTATTTGATTTGCAAGCAAAGTTTGACCAAATAATTTATTAAGGCAGTGTAAAACTTCTTAGGCTTAAGCTTAGCAGACTTTTGCATAGGGGTGAGTGTTAGTCGGTTTTAACCGAATAAACCAACAAAAAACTGAAATTCAATTAAATTGGGGTCCCTTTTTTTCGGTTTTCGTGGTTTTCTCGGTTGCATGTTCAGTTTTTGCTGTTTAATCGGTCAGTTTGCAGTTTTGCAAATCATGAACTGAACCAGCCCAAAAAACCGACATTCAAAACTTACCCAGTGTGAAATACCCATTTACCCAACACCCATTTATGTTATGAAACCCCAAGTCTGTTTCTGATAGATATGTCAACAAAAGACAAGAAGAAACTGATAGATATATCAACAAAGAGATGGGATCTTTCAAGGGTCATGCTTTGCCATGGACTCTGTTTCTGATGGTTGGCGTATGGCACATATGGAGTTCTGTGGCTTGATATGCATCAAACCCCAATTCTTTTGAGGTCAGAGTGTGGAACCCAGTTCCTGGTTTTGATGGGAAGTTGAAGTACTTGGAGCTTTATCTTGTAGCCATTGGTGCTTTTATTGATTTGTGTATTGAGCTTTTGTATTCAACCCACCTCAAATTTTTTGTCAATGCAGTCTTGAATCCATCACACTTGAATGATTTTGAGCATTCCAGGATGCTTCTCATGTTTTAAATCTTAGGTGCTATCTCTCTACTTTTAGAGAAAATGAGGTTAGTCGTGGTCTTTTCATTTGTGTCTGCCCTTCTTTATCATGTAATAATAGCTTATGTTTGTTGTCCAAAGCTAAGGGATGATGGGTGGGGGGATTTTGCCGTGATTTTTGTTTTCTTTGGAATGGGAATGGGAATGGAGAATGGCATTTGAAATGGAAAAAACCGACTTATTTCAGTTCAGTTTATTTCAGTTTTCACTCCTTTAATTGGTCGGTTTGGTTTTTGCTAAATTAACTTACAACCAAATTAACCAAACCTGATCGATTGCTCACTCCTGTTTCACCTAATTGCATTATTGTGTTAGAAGCAATGATAGAATTCAATAATCAATGATAAAGTGGCGGTTGTCATCCTAGTATTTATAATTACTTGTGGAATTATTAATGTAATTATTGTTTTATTGGTTCTGAGTTTGTGGTCATAGATGTTGTGGTCTCCCAAATAAATGACCGGTTATGCGGGATATCCTTCCTATTTGGTTACTATTTAGTTATTTCGTCTGAGTATGCATCATGGATTGCTACTTGGGAGAATTTGAGAAGTCATTTGTCCATCAGAGTAAACAAAGTTATGATGGTTTTTTCATTTTGCAGTAAAGTTTGGCATGAAACATCTTGAGAATCCAATTGTTAGCTAGCATAGAGAACATGTTTAAACCCCAACAAGAGCAGTTGCTTCTACTGTTTGGTGGTCTAATTAGGTAGTTCTTCCAGGGAATATTAGCATTCCTATTCAGATATTAATCAATTCCTCACAAGAGAGTAAATGGGCATACAAATTAGATAGATTCACTGATAAAAGCCATCAATTCATAGTTACTGTCAAAAGTTATGAATAATATCCAACTATCATAAATAATTTCACTTGTATGGAGAGAGATTCGGTATTCATCGATATTGCAGCCTGAATCGTTTAACTGATCTGTGGACTGCTGGACTGTGTGATGTTTTGCTTTCAGGATTGATGAGAACATGGATGACACCTTAGCGAATGTGGAGGGAGCGCAGGGAGCTTTGCTCAAGTACCTAAACAGCATATCATCTAACAGGTGGCTTGTGATCAAGATATTTTTTGTATTGATTTTTTTCCTTATGGTTTTTCTATTCTTTGTGGCATAGTCAATAAAGCGAGATGGCAGGCTGGTTGAAAAGAGAAAAAGAGAATGATATTGCCTTTTCTTACTGTTCTGGTCTTTTCATATATACCATCTTTTTTGCTTTAAGCAACAATTCAGTCCTGCTGGGTTGTGATTGGAGCCATTTTTATTGCTGTGATGTATCATGTATATGTACGGGTACATGTAAATTACACGGTGTTGGAAACAGTGAGAATGGTAGAAGCTATTCCTTTTTTTTTTATTTATTGTGGTGTTATTTGAAAGAATGTTTCCTAATGTGCCTGTAGATTTTATAGTTTTAAACATATATGTTAATATGACAAAAAAAATAAGATAGAAAATATAAAAATGATGTAGTTTAAAATTTTAATAAAAATCTAATAAAATTATATATAAATTTAATAAAATAAAAAAATATTTCGTCAATGAGTTTCGATATGATGATCGACTGTTAAGAGGTTCACTTTAGTAGTAGTTTTCTGATGATTGCCTTATGATATTGTAGCTTGCTTTTTTTTTTTTTAAATCTTATGTAAGATCTTCGGTTCAGCGCTCAATAATTTAGTTTTATTTTGTCCAAACAAATTTCGTCCTACGTGAAATGGGTTTTTTTTATTTTTTGAGAAAAATTAGTCTCATTTTGTTATGTTGCAGAGAAGCCAGGCAAAAATTAGATTTGGTTCATGCCTTAATTAGAGATTTTATTTTTACTATCAAGAAAAAAATGAACAAGGGACTTACCGGTCTACTTCGACAATATATTAGGAGAAAAAAAAGAAAAGAAACCAATCCGAAAACGAGGTCGTTCAAGATTTTACCTCGTTCAGTAATTTTCAGAAAAAATCATATACTACCCCAATTTTCCCATTCGGAGGTTAAAATGATAAAGACAAACAACAACCCCATATTAAATCCCACGTCTTTCGTCCACCACCCCACCTCCTCCGCGTTACACATTTTACGTTATCTCCTCCAATATAGCCCCAACCCTACGTTAAGTGGGTTCTATTCTCTGCAACAAATACGCTTCATTTCAAACCCTAATTTTCTCATCCCTCGTCATTTTTCCCGAGAAACACAAACTCCTTTCTCATCTCTTATCAGTTCCAATTTCAACAAAGTCTAAACATTCATTTCGTTCTCTCCCAGTATTTTTAAACAAATCTCCCTTTTAACATCTCGATCTCTTTTTTTTTTTCGTTTCGATTTTTTTGGTTATTTGTTTTGAGGAAGTAGGGAGAAATGGTTGGAGGAGGAAGCAGGAGAGATGAAGGATCGTTGGTGATCAACAATACGAACGTGTTTGCGGCTCTCGAAACTCTCCGGAAGAAGAAGAAATCTGACAAGGACCGAGGTTCTTCTAAAAAGTCTTCTTCCAAGTCTCAGAAACAACAACAGCAACAACCTCAAAAAGAACCCGAATCGCAGGTGTTTTGGGCTCCGGCCCCGCTCACTGTCAAATCGTGGGCTGATGTCGATGATGACGATGATTATTATGCTACAACCGCTCCTCCTCAGTCCGGTTGGGGATCCGCCGAGCCTTTTCAGAGTCATGAAGATAAGACCGCCGATTTAGAGGTGAATTAACTTATTGGTTAAACGATTAATTTTCTTTTCTTTTATAAATGGATTGTCATGATGGAATCCATTAATGCAATTTTTTAAAGATACATATTTTTATTATTTTGTTATTATTTGAATGATTGAAATTAATATGTGGTGGGAAATCCTGGAATGGAAGCCTCTTGGACGATGATTGAAAAGTGAACTTTGTTAGAAGTCAGTGGTTTGATCAATTGTTTGATGGCTCAAACTGATAACATACTTCTTGTTGGAATTTGGCAAGAGGGTGGAGATGTTGATTTGAGTTCTCATATATCCTAGATTGAATTTATTGTTTTCTACCTGTTGTTCTTAATTTAAGTTTAAGTTTGGAGCTATTTTGGGTGTTAAATTATTAGGAGTTTGTGGTGATAGATGTGATACTTGAGAATTCTTGTGTATAAGTCATTCATTGTTGCTAGAATTTTTTTTATAGAAATTCTTTTGAAAAGGTTCTATTGAAGGTCAGGAGACCTTGATATTATGCTGAATGCATCTATGGGAACTCCAATCTCTTCGAAGGAACTGGTAGAGTAGGGCTAAGCAATAAAATAACTGGCTGGATTTTCCTAAGTAAAATTAGTAATAGATTTTACTCATGGTTCTTTTTACCAGCATTGAACTAAAATTATTCAAGCTTATGGTGAAGACTGGATATTTGTCTATCCTTAGAATGCTTATTATTCTGATTGCAATACTAAGAAATGTACTATGATTAACATTGTGCATTTGAGAACCTTACTCTCAAAAAGAAATGGGAAAAAAAACTTACATTTGATACATGAAACTAATGTCTGATGGAGCTAAAGCGAAAAAATATTTTTTTCTTATTCTTTCTCCGTGGATGAACTGTCTTTCTTCTTTTTCTTTTTATTTTTTATCATGCTCTGATAGAAATCAAGGGTGGTGTATTTTTCTTTTTATTTTTTATCATGCTCTGATAGAAATCAAGGGTGGTGTATCTTTGTTTCATTTGTTTGGTTTTATATTTTATTCTAATTTAATTTTGAAACCCAGTAGTAGTATTATAGCACTTCCAGCACTTGAGGATCACATTGTTATAAACTTACCAAAATCTAGATATTTTTGTTATGATATTGAATTTTTTCCCAGAAACATGATCTACTTTCGCATTCCTGCTTTACCATTTGAAGTGGATCTTACTTGCTCCTTGTTTTTCTTTGTCAAAAGAATAGATAGGAAAAGTTGTTTTGGTAATCCTCCCAAGGGAAGAAGGAAAAAGGCTGGTGAATTATTGGTTTATCTTGTCATTCCGGTATGGCTGTACTTTAGTTTTGGAACTTTAAGATTTATTCTTAGTCTTGTTGCATAAATAGTTAATCCTTGAGGTGTCAGATTATATTTTATTCCTCTCTTGTTCTAAGTGGAAGTTTATTGTATGCTTCTTGCAATTTAAGGTTGAAGAAGAAGGGTAACAAACAAGTGGAATGGGCTTGACTTATACTTGTCTTGGAGAATAAGTTAATGGCATATAAGATAGAATATTGCACTACAGTTACTGGTGGAGAGCCGGCTGGGTGTCGCTACTGGGCCCTCCCAAGGCTCAGGTTCATTTATGCTTTTGTTATTCTGCCAAAAAGGATGAGACCCTTGAGCATAAATGATTTATCCTGTATGATTGGATGGCTATACTTGATTCAGAATGAATGATGGAAATTAGTTTGTGTTTTGACAAGCATTGTCTCATTCATTTTTAATTTATCTGGGATTACAGGATAGTGAGAGCGAAGAAGATATTTTAGACGAAGGTGATGATGATATGGAGGAAGATCATGACCATGAACCAGAGGTTCAAGTACATCCAGAACCTGTGCTGAAAAAGGCTCCTGAAGTTCCTGCACTGCCCAAGGAAGCAGAAAGACAACTTTCAAAGAAAGAGAGGAAGAAAAAGGAACTTGCAGAGCTGGAGGCTCTTCTTGCTGATTTTGGAGTGACTCAGAAGGAGAGCAATGGCCAGGATGAACCTCGTGGTAATTTTAGCCAACTTAGTGCTTCTATTACTTTGTATGGTACTCTGTAATTGTTTGCTTGCAACATTGTTCCCCTAGATTTGGTGGAAAGTCCTTTTTTTTTTTTTGTTATTTATTCCTATTGTTGAGGTAAGAAAGCAGTAGAATCAAATCTTAGATGATCCATGTTTTGACAAACAATATTTGATGATTGAGGTATTGTCTCCTGGGACGTGATATGTAACACAACCTTGAAGCTGTTTGTGAGTCCACGTTTGAAATATGAAATTCTCTCTCTCAAACACATGCATGCAACCTTTTGTATTTAGGCATTATCCTTTTAATATCATATGTTGCTTGCTTAGCTGTAAAGATGAACTCTACCCTTGTGAAGATGGTATTTCTTGTCCTTATCAATCCCTTTGCTCAAATATTTATTATTGAAAGTCTCTTCTAACCTAGGTCTTTATCGCTTATATGTGCAGATGTTGAACAAGAAAAGAAAGATGGAGAGAGAGAAAAGAAGGAAAATCCTCCAGGAGAGTCTAAAAGTGCCAAGAAGAAGAAAAAGAAGGATAAATCAAAGGAGGGAAAAGAATCACAGGATCAGCCTACTAGCACAGATGCCACCAATGGGCTGGATGAAGCTGCTGGGACTGAGCAGACTGAGGAGGATGCATCTGCTGTTGATGTGAAAGAGCGGCTAAAGAAGATGGCATCTATGAAGAAGAAGAAATCTAGTAAAGAGATGGATGCTGCTGCAAAATCTGCCGCACAAGAGGCTGCTGCAAGGAGTGCAAGGCTTGCTGCTGCAAAGAAGAAAGAGAAGAACCATTACAACCAGCAGCCAATTCGGTAAAAGCCCCCTTTTGATCGACATACATTACGTGAACATCTACTTCTCGTTGTTCATATGACAATGCGAAATAACTAGTGGGCTTTGCTTCCTTAAAAATATGACCTTTTTAGCTGTATCCGAATGGACTAAAAGAAAGTTTTTATTTTTTTTAGCTTATTGGATCTTATTGTTGCTCAGTTATCATGGAACACATTGTTATGGCAGTTTTGTTTACCAAAAATTCTTCATCAGACAACAGCTGAGCTTAATTTTTTCTGTGTATTACATACCTTTTGCTGCTGAGATTTTTGTGGATGGGACAATGATATGCTGGATATAGCAAATTAGCTATTCTGAGATGTCAATGCACCATTAATTATTAATTATTATTCACTGAGAACCGATGCTTCTCTGCGTTCAAGTGTGGAGTATTTGACTTGATTAGAAACTATTATTGTGAATGCTGCGTTGCTAAAGCGTCCTTCCCATTTCCCCCATCTATCATGAGAAGTTTAGGCTTTGTCTGCTGGGTTTCACAGATAAAGAAGCTGAGTGCAGTTGTTACGGCTTGCATCTGGGTCAGACCCGTGGGTGCTACTGGAGTCAGAAGGATGTTTGAAGAGCAGCACAGACCGTAGCTTAAGTCTCCACAAATGGGATGGCTGCACGGTTTGCATATTCGCTTATTTTCAAATAATAATAACAATAATATAAAACTAAACATTTTTTTTTTTTTGGAATGTTGAGCGCTTGACAAACACGGTAGAGATGAATTTAAAAGATTTCAGAGTTAGAAGTCTCATTTATTTTCCTTTTCCCTACCAATATTCTGAATCACGATTAACTCCAGATAATCTATTCGGTACATAATTGTTTACAAAATATTCTAGATAGTTTTCTTTTAAATTTTGGTTAAATACATTTTTGGTAAGCAAACTATAAAGAGACTGTCAATTTGATACATGAAATTATAAAATATAATTTATTTTTATCGAACAGTTCGCACTTTTTAACTAAAAGACTTAAAAGGTAGAGTGTAAAACAACATTCAAATGATTGATTCAGCAAAAACATTCAATAAAATAATGTCATGTGACAAAAAAAAAGGTCTTGTTTTTTTTTTTTTTTTTTTTCAAAATTTTTATTTTAAATTTAAAAATTAAAAAAAAAGGTTGTCATTTTTTTCATTTTTGGAAATTTTCTTTTTTTTTTAAGATTTCTATTTTTATTTTTTTAATTTCAAATTTTTAAAAAATTTTAATTTTCAAGATAGATAATTATTATTGACCAACTAAACTACGTCACATTTAATATTAATGGAATTAGTCCATGATCAATATGCCTCATAGAATACAAGTTAAATTAGATAATTATAAATTACTATTCTTTTTAAGTTTCAAATTGATAATTATACTCTAATTTGGGTTCCAAACATGTATTTAACCTTTCATCTTTTCTAAATTATCAATGACTAGTCCATGTTTCTACAACTATCGACCAATGAGGTTAATCTCGTTGTTTTGTATATTCATGTTGTTTTGGTTATGGGTAATTCTAAACATGTCGCAATTTTTATTTTGGTCAATTATACAATAAGTATTTGTACTTTAATTAAATTGTAAAATTAGTCTATCTTTCTTAATGTGTTCAAATTAGATCTCTATACTTAATTTAATTATCGAATTTAAACAAATTGTTAACAATTCAAATTTTTTTTATTAAAATTGATAATGTGACATTTTAACTTTTTTAATGTGATATTTTTGCTTACATGACGGTGAATTTATTAATGTGTAAAGTTTATTTGGTCAAAGATGACGATGACATGGTAAAATTTTTTAACATGTCACCATTTTTTCACACCAAAATTTTCTCAAATTGTACAACTCATCCTGGTACTTTAGTTAAATGGTGGAATTAATTTTTTTATCTTAATGTATGTTCAAATTTCATCCATATACATAAGGCTAAGTCAAAAGTTTGTTCGATTAATTCAATCGTAAAAATCGAATAACCGACTTAATAGATTTAATTTATTATAAAAATCGAACCGACCGATATACATAAAAAAAATAAAAAGAATCGAATCGAATTAAGGTGATCATAAACATAAATTTAAATAACAGTCCATAATTTATCTAGCACTAGCAATTCATAACAGTCCATAAATACAAACTTAATTTATCTAGCATTGACAATCCATAAAGTCCATAAACACAAACTAGTAGCAACAAGGATACTCAACCAATGAACAATGATTACAATCCATAGACCATAATAACAGTCTATAACATGCCACTACCAATCATTGAGCAAGCCTGAAAAAAAAAAAAAAAAACCCCAAAGCAAAAAATAAGAATAAAACAAAATAAACTATTCAACAATAATACTCAGCCAATTATATTCAAGAATACCCATAGCCAGTGAGCTTGCTCAACATTAATCATAAGGTAGTAAGCTTTCTCAAGAACAATGCTCAGCAAAAGCACAAACAAAAAATAACTAAAAAATTAATATAAACAAAATAACAAAAATCTACTCATGTTATCTTAATTTATCAATATACTTTACTAATTAATTATAGGATCCAATGTAATCTTGAATAAATTTAAACATAAATAAAAAAAAAAGTTAGCTATAAAGATTTAAAGAAATAAGAATTGAAAAAAATAATGGTAGAAATAAAATAATTATCTAAATCAATCTTATCAAGTTGTTCCACTCCATCCTCTATGGCATTGAAATCAAAATTTCACAAATAAGAGCTTGCATAAATTTAGGAGTTAAAGAACTTCTATATGCATCAAGCACATGACCATCAGTGCTAAAAGCGGATTCAGAAGCAATTGTGGATATTGGAACAGCCAACACATCATAAGCTAAATGGAAAAGGATAGGAAACCTATGACTAATGAGTTTCCACCAAAGAAAAATGTCAAAATCCACTCTCTCCATCATAGCATTGGGCTTCTTATTCAAATACTTCTTCAACTTTGATTAATTCTCTTCTTTACCTTGTTTGTTTTCTAAACTTTCTAAATATAGCCATAATAGTTTGTGAGTCACATAGATTTTCAATTCCATGTTCATAGGTGGATTCTGTAACTTGACTCGCATAGCTACTTTCACCAACTTGTTCAGATTGAGGTTGTGACATATTTTTGTATTAATCAAATAACTCACCATTGCTTTTTTCATCTTTTTCATCATCACTAAAGTTTGATCATAATAATACATCTTCATAAAACAAAACTCCATAAAAGTAAATTTTTTTCTAGGATCAAGAATGAAAGTAATATCAAAGTAACATATTCATTTTCTTCACATTCCCCTAATACTTATCATACTTATCCTTTATTTTTTTAGCTATTGCACTCAACTCAACATCAATATTCAATTGTCAATCTTACAAAATACCATAAAACACCACAAATATTTTCAAGAAAATTATTAGCGGTGACATATAAAGAACTTGAAACTCTAACTATGAGGTTGTAAAATTTTTGCAAGAAATGGCATAATATTTTAACACTTGCCCAATCACTTTGATCGGGTACCTCATCTCCCAACACAAGCTCACTTATATAGTAAGGATCAACATTATCAAAAGCTTCGAAAAGCTTTTTCAAACTTTTGAGCTTGTTCCAACATTAAGTAAGTGAATTTTCACCTAGAGCTAACATCCAAGTATAACAAGCTCTTACTTTGAATTCATTGGCAACACACTCTTTAAATTTAACTAATTTAGAAAGTAATTGTCTTACATATCTAGCTGCCTCTCTAACACGAATAATTGAATCACTTATTTTCTTTAACTCATCACTCATAATAAAGTTAACAATATGAGCAATGTATCTTAAATGAAGATATTTGCCTCAAACAATACTAGTTCTTGCATTGTTAAATTTTTTTCTTAAGTATGAAATTGCAACATCATTGGAAATAACATTATCAACTATAATAATAAAAACTTTATCAATTCCCCAATCACACTAGAATTTTTCCCCTACCAATAGCTTCATTTTTATGACTAAAATTGGGACAAAAGTTTAGTATCCTTTTGTTAAGTTTTCAATTATTGTTTATAAAGTGAATTGTGAGATACATATAATTGATTTTTTACAATAAGGTCCATGTGTTAGTGGTAAGAGACACTATTATAGAAGACGATTTCAAGAATTACCTTAGGGAAGTTTTTTCATTCACATAATTTTGATCACAATCCCTAGCAACAATGTATCATGATGGTACATGAAATCTAGGATATGCAATAGCTAAACAACACCTAAATCATTTCGCTTTCACCAACTTAAAAGGTAACTCATATATAATTATCCTCTTAGCCACACCTCTCTTAACGGCATCTTGATCAAACTTTAAAGTATTTAAATATCCATCTTTTTTCGAGTTAAAAACTAATTCTGGTTAGGAAAGATCACCATTACCACAAAAAAATTTCATACAAGAACTCATGTGATTTTTTAATGCAGATATTCCATTTTTTTATGACGAGCATAAAATTTTCTATCACAATAATTGCATCTAGCTTTGAGTTCATCATACCTCCGACCATGTGTTTGGTCATCTCCTTTTTTATTTAGCAGTTACAACTTCACTTTTTAATCTATGTGTGTCTCTTTGAGGGATTGATTGAGCATCCTCTTGTGTAAAATTTCAATCAATCAAAGAAGTTAAGTTATAAATAAACACAAGGAAATGGCTTTTTCCAGTAAGTTAACAAACTAATAAGTAGAATCATGAAACAATGGCAAAATATGATGAGTTCAATATTGTTAAAAACAAGTGGCCCTTTTCAAAAAAATTAAATGTTAGCCTTTTTTGTGAGATAGTGATCCAAGATGGGGTAAATTGAATTTCTTCAAGTTTTTTTCAAATAATGATTTCAAAATAATTGAATGAGGAATTAAAATAATAAACATTTTTTATGAAAATATAATGCGAGCAATAACAAATAATGGACCTATAATCAAATATAAACAACAATAGATGTAAGGAGATATGGATGTAAAAATCAAACACAATGATTTATAGAGATTCAGTCATTCTCTATAAGGCACTTACGTCCTCTCTTCTTGATTATTCACGCTAAGACTTCAATCTACTAATCTTGAATTAAAAATACAACCCTATCTTTTTTTCTCAAAGGCTTAAGATAGAAATTTTACACTATTTACTTTCTAGGCTAAGTAGCAACCTTATAATTCCATAAATTTAAGAGGATGTCCCACCTCTTGATTACAAAATCACTTAATAAAAATGTAAACTTAGAACACCTCTTAAAGGCTAAGTGCTTGCCTAATGAAGTACAAAGAAATTTGATGAATAAACAA